GTGGAAATAATACTACATTCCAATATCTTCCTATGATCATCCAGGTAAAAATGAAGCCCTTTCAGCCATAATCTTATAAAGGTTAGCTCGTGTGATCGCGCAGACAGTGACTTTCAAAATCGTTTTTTTGTCAGCAGAGATGAGCGTTGTTATCACGGTTTTAGAAACATTTCAGCTTCTTAGGCTAGAAAAATCAATTAGTTCGTGCAACCTCCACATTTCAGATATGAGACTTTAAATGTTCGCATCCAAGGTTATGATTTTACCCACATCGAAAAATTTCAAGGCTATGTCGATAGGATGGCGCGACGATTTAAGTTCAATGTTCTAGATAGGTAAATCAACTGCATTGTTGGCTTTTTCCTTAGTTCAAATTTGCTTTTTTTAGCTATGCAGTAGCCGCTCAAACGCAGCGGGTTGTTGTCTACAAACCTAATAGCACTATAGTAGAGAACGAAGTAAATTTATCGCTATACGATAGGTAAGTTCCGATTGGCAAGTCCTTATTTAGCTTGATGATTGTCCTATTTAGAGTTGTAAGGCTTGGAAATGTACCTGCACCACATCTTCAGCTTTTTATTTCTCTCATCCAAACTCATGTGCCTGTAGGAGTTACGGTAAGTCCATATGGGCACATAATATCACTGTTGATCATCAGATTCTACGTTATTATGGCAACCATGATTCATTTATTCTGTTGCAGGTCACCTTCAAAGAACACGAAAAAGCAGACGAAGACTATCGATATATCCCAGATATCCTGCTGAAACAGAAGCAAGAAGAATTGAAGGCATTAGATGACCCTGTTGTTCGACGAAATCTTGGATGGGAATAACGGATAATGACCTCATTGCCAGATGCATCATGTACATAATTAACCATAGGTGTTTTGTGTATTCAAATAAAGATAAAGCTTTTCAAGTGTTTTTGAACGTCAAAAATGTTCTAACAGCACTACTACTGCTCAGTAATCATTAGTTATCAACACATACCTTGAAGATAATGCACGATTGCTGACAGTGAGGCTTCAGATTTCTAATTCATTGATAAGTTGCTGTAGTGAAAATCCTATATGGGTATTTAGTAGCCACTCTGCATTATGTGTGCATGAGAAGCAACTCTTTTTGAACTTGTGAACCTATTTTTAGATTAGAACAGTATCACTGCTCCTGCGTCACTGTAGTGCAGTGAGGAGAATGTCAAACGACGTTGTAGAGCGATTGGTACCTTACGAATTGGTGGATATCGGTGCTAATCTAGGACATCCTTCATACAAAGATGACTTGAATGATGTTTTGAAACGAGCAAAACAGGCAGGTCTGTAGCCAATTTTCCGAAAGATTTTCTGGGAAGATTCTCAAATTTTTCACAAAATTGTAATCTTTATGTCCTAAGAAAACCTTGTTTCAAAGCTGATTTAGTCTTCGTAAATGTCTTAGAAGAGTTCATATTATCTCGTGGAGTTACCTATTTATAACCTTACAAGGATAAATGACGGCTCAAGTCTTCCCTCGGTGTATAATTGTCATGTTATTCTTGGCTAAAATAATGACTTGCTTCATTCTTTTTCATCGGGTAAAGCGAGCGTAAAATAGTTTTTGAATAATATCAAATTCCATCTTCTATTGTGTTGAGTAGCTACATGACTTTTCAGGTCTCTGCAAGCTCATGATTACGGGAACATCGGAGAAAATAAGTGCAGAATCTATGAAGCTAGCCGAGACTATGCCGGGTTTCCTTTATTTTACCGCTGGTAATATTCTTTCTCGAACCTTTCTGATTTCATGAAGGTAGTAATCCCATTATAGGTGTACATCCTCATGACGCTAAAGATTTTGGTGAAGACTCATTGGATACTTTGAGAACTCTACAGGTACACAGTAATCACATCAAATAGCTGTCTACAGAAATTTGAAGCCGTCAATTTCAGGCTCACCAGCAATGTGTTGCTGTAGGAGAATGTGGGCTAGACTTCAATAGAAATTTCTCACCTCCAGATGTGCAGAAGGAGGTATTTAGGAAGCAGGTACTGGCTGCCTTCCTCTTTCTCATATTATCTTTTTCCACTGATTTCACCTCTTATCCCAAGGTCGAGCTAGCCTGTGAACTCAATAAGCCTCTATTTATACATGAAAGAGAAGCTCACGAGGAGATGATACGAATTCTGGGTGATGCTGGAGAGAGGTGAGTGGAGTTGTCCATAATTTTTTACTTAATCGTAAATGTTTTACCATTTATCATCAATTTTTTACATTCCGACAATCTTTGTTGGGCACATAGGCTTCCACCGGCTGTCATGCACTGCTTTACTGGCACGGAAGATGAGGCTAAGAAATACGTGGAAATGGGGTTATACATCGGGCTGACAGGTTAGTATGAAAATCATAGCTGCTGTCTTGAGGATAACAGGATTGTGGACTTTGAATTATTTCGTTTTCCCTCCATCTCAGTTAAGCTTACAAATCAGACACTACTTTGAGCTTTTTTCAGGCTTTTTATGGAAGGATCGGCTGCCAAATGGAGTGCAGGCAGCCTTGCGAAATGGCTCTATACCTCTAGATCGTTTGTTGATAGAAACCGATGCTCCGTTCATGTACCCAAAGATAAATGACAAAAAGCTGCCAAAAGACGTCAAAGAAGCTATAAGCGATTCTGCTAAGCAGTTACATAAGGTGAGTAGGCGATTCGAAAATTTGTATTTATACAGCTTAAAAATTGCAGTTTGCCTCTTTCGATCGTAATGAGCCCTGTGCATTGGCAGCCATCTGTGAGATGATAGCCGCTTTCATGGGCAAGGATCCCAAAGAGGTATTATTTTTTTAAGTTTCTGTTTATACCATTCTCAGTCGTATGAGTATATATGTATCTTTTTCTTATATATTCTCTTTCAAGAAAATCCAGAAGTTGGATGTGCTAAACTATAACCAGTCTAGGGCGGTGGGCGTAGCGTTATGAGGCGCCGCTATGACCAGATCGGACCCAGGTTCGATCTCCGCCCTTGGGCCAACCAAGCCCTTTACCCTCCAGGGCCGGTAAATTGGTGCCGGGGCTTTTATCTTGGAGGATAAAGCACTAACTTGGTAAACGGCTAGCCCCCGCAAGTCACTGTAATACGCTCGCACGCATACAAAATGCCTCTTCAACTATGAAGTAGTGTGCGTTTGGCACATGCCCGCAGAGGGTATTGAAGACGCCGAATCCTT